TGTGTGTGTGTGTGTGTGTGTGTGTGTGTGTGTGTGTGTGTGTGTGTGTATATGTGTATGTGTGTGCACTAATACTGAAAAACGTGGATGAAACCGGCATTTACATACTACTAGTATGTACATACACACACACACACACCTCTCTCTCGCTCACGCTCAGTAACGTTCAAAGTACAACTTCGAAAAATGTGCGACACAAAGTAATTTCAGTTAGATATAGAAAGTTCAATAACATTTAATGCAAGGTATCAGCAAACATATTTTTCAGTTAATTGCAATATTAGCAAAATCAAGTAAAGTCCAATAAATTCATCAACTCACAAACTTATACGAAAACTGCGTAGATAGTAAGAAAGAAAATTAAAAACCAGTTAATGTTTAACATTCAAACGAAACAGTTGTTAATCATTTCTCCACAGTAGTCATGTGAAATATAAATCTATGGCCATGGAATTTCAATCAAAAAATGTTCACCTTTCAAACGAAGCAATCGTGATTTCGTTCGATCATTCGTTGAAAGTATTTTATTCAGCTAGCTTCACTTTTTCTTCAGTGCAATTTGTGAGTATGAAATAAGAAAAATTTGTGCATATTTTTTTTGCAGTGTTGTTTTGCTTTTTCAGTGAGAGAAAATTGTTTCGGAATGCCGTCGCATGCTGCTGCTGCTGAGGAAGTTGAGCCATCCGGGTCGTTTGAATCAGCAGTTTGTGAATTAGATACACCGACTAATACAAAATTCGACGACGATCACGACGAAATTTACACAATATAAATTGATTCGTTTCTTATTCTATTGATATAATTGCTTTGCCTATTACTTTGTGGTTGTTATTTCTCTATTGTTATTATGGTTGGTGATTTCTGTTTCTTTTTTCTGAATAAGATTACTGCCGTTCGTGTCCATGCTTAATAATAATAGTGCTGGAAAATGAGTCAGTTAAAATGCGATGCGCACATTCTTTGTACTAGAGATACATTCTTGCAAATAAAAATTCAGAAATCAATTCAAATGAAAAAAGTGCAATTTTAAAGTGTATGTACTTCATTTCAAACGCTATATCATTCATTTCTCATTTTTGAAGCAATAATGTTTTAATCGAATGTGTTACAATACGAAAAAGAAAAAAAAAACAGACAAATTTGCCGTTTATATTTTCGAATAATAAGAGAAAGACATGCAGACTTTTCTCCATAGCAATCCTCATTTGGTTGTGGAAATTCTGGCGAGTCGGAAGTATTTTCGTTCGGCGTTCATACTTTCGATCGATACTTTCAGTTCAAGCATGGCCGCCACACCCAAAACGTTCACGTCTGTGAAGTGACTGTGCGAAATGTCGCATAAGATTTCAGACTTCGAATCCTGAGAATATAAAATAACAGCTAGAAATTTAACTAATAATCTAAAGAAAGCAAGACATGCAACAACATATACCTGTATTGCAACAAAATAACTGATAGCATTACATTTGGGCCCATACATCGCCAGTGTCAACGAAAAACCAGACGTTGACAATCGGTGCAGTCGGCTTTTCGGCACGCTGACAGTTTAGGCAGATCATCAACCGATTATTTTTACCGTAAATTATACCATCAACCGGAAACGGTGACGCACTAAACCCCCCTTCGCTCAAATTTGGCATTCCGTGATGATTGCCAATCTAAAAACAAAAACATTACAAAAACGAAAAACGCAGAGAAAAAACTGACTTACATCAGCGAGTTTTTTTTTGATTTAGGTCTGTTAAAACCATGTCATGCTGAGCGGCTGACAACGCTTCATCATGATACAAAATCGGTCCATCGTTTCTCCCACTTGACAACGAACTCTAAAATAATCGTGTAAAAAATGAAAAGTTGGTTTATCTCGTTTACAGAAAAAAAAGACCATTCTAAATCTTTTTCCTCAAAACATTACATTCAGTGTGAGTAGTGTACTTCAATAACTTACATTCACAGAATTCGTCATATAATTGTCGACACTGTTTGGTTTTGTGTATCTACAATTTTTGTTATTATCAACTGATCGATTGTAGTTTTTTTGGGAATAGCCAGCAACAGAAACAGCAATTCTAAAATATTACAATAAAATGTCAAAAAATTGATTGAATCACATTCTTTTTTATTTCTATTTCTACCTCTCACTCCAATTGCAATGTTCAAATTTATAAATTCTCTTACCGTTCAATTGAAGCAACTTGTGGAATTCGGCGTAATATTGTTGTTAACATTTTTTTCTCTTCTATATCTCAGCGATAAAAATAAACTCTATTTGGATGATTTGTGTTGGAGCTAAGGATCAAACAATTTTGACGGAACGTTATATTCCGATAGCTGTCAAACATTATTTACGCGCAAAACAATTCAGTTTGACATCTATTTGAATACAAAGTTAAACCGTATATATATATATATAAACCGAGAGAGAGAGAGAGAGAGAGAGAGAGAGAGAGAGAGAGTAGAAATAATAATAGCATTTATTGTAAACTCATCATCGCATATGCTAGGGGAATCACTCACTTTCCAAATGGTGTGAATCTTACGAATCTTATGAATCTTTTGTTTACTGAAATCCAATATGGCGACTGACAGTTATGTCGCCATTTTCAATTTGGACTCACGAGATTCATCAGATTCATCATATTCATCATATTCATGACGATTCGTTCACAGTAATGTGTTGAATCTGAGTGAATCTTTTGAATCTGTGTGTAAACATAACCATATATTGTTTGAATTTGGAAAAAGACTTCAATCATACAAACTGCATTGAATGATAAATTCCCCTAACGCATATGTAGGTCATTTAATCCTTAGACTTTATTTACTCCATTCCCTGACAACGCACCAACGTTGCTCATTCATTTTGAAATTGCGATTTTCGACCAAGTTGCTTCCATTGAATTGTTAACACTTCACTGAACAGCGTGAAATGATCAAATGCGAATACTTTACGAGAACTTAAAGTTGAGTTAAGTTGAGCTTGAACCAAACATTCAAACACCGTTCACACGGATTTTCCGTCGATATTCTTCGAATGGGTGGATTTTTTTCTTCATCTTCGTACTATTTGCTGCGGCTAAGCAATTTATTCGTCTCTTTGTACACTTGTTCTCTGTCGCTCGCTCGTTCGATCTCATTTTGTCTGTGTGTGTGTCTTTGTCTCGCGCAATGGTGAGATTATGTATTTTGTGATGAAAACACATTCCATATAAAATTTATATTCATATTATAAATTGGTGTTGGTTTTGACAGTGAGCATACAATGCATTGTCCATATTTTTTATATCTTTCAGCATAATTCAATGTAATTGATGCTCGAATTTAAAAATGACCGAAAACTTATATGAATGCCACACAAAAGCGAGAAGAAATGGAGAAAAAGCGGACTTTGAACAAAACAACATGAAAATGTGCTGTGTGTGTGTGTGTGCGAATGTGCTTTTTTATCCAACTGTGCGACACTTCAATCGGTGTAACATTTTGCCCGTCGTTTTTGCGAGCAAAAAGGAAGCGAAACAACCAAAAGAGTATTATTATATACGTGCACTTATGAGAAGTGTTGAGTGCTAAGAGAGAGAGAGAGAAAGAGTATTCTATTCGGGTATAGAAAATGATAATCGTGTCGATATTGTTTATTGTGCGACAGTTTTGCTTTCGCCATGCAATTTAATTCTAGATCCATCGCATTGAAAATGAGGCAATAAAACGGAGACTTGGATAACGTATATGTATGTGAAGCAGCCATAAAAAATTGAATAAAACAAAGAAAATATCACATAAAATGTACGAAACGAACAAAACAAAAACCGAAAATGGTGTTACGCTGTTACAGCGAGAGAAAAACGACATTTATTTATTCGCACTGAATGAAAATGTTTTGTTCATACTATGCGGGTGTGTGTGTGTGTGTGTATGTATGCATGGTGTTGTATCACATATGAAAATAGCTTTGTCTTAAGTGATTATCGTTCGGGTGAAAAACTTTCTGTGAATTCGTCATTTTACGAGCAAATATTACATGTTTTGTACGTGTTATAAAAGTCGATTGCCGCCTTCAACCAAAACAAAAACGGCGGACAAAACGCGAACTCTCAATCGCTCGTTCTCTCTCTCTCTCTCTCTCTCTCTCTCTCTCTCTCTCTTTGTGCGTGTGTGTGTGTGTGTGTGTGTGTGATTGTGTTCCGCGCTCGCTTTTGATCCACGACTACAGTTCGACCGAGTGACTAAGCGAACGCTTCGAAGCATGTGTCTACATTTGGATAATTATTTATATTTGGTTCACGCATTCACTTCAGGTCCATTTCATGTCTGCCATACATATATCCGTCATCCATGCAAGGGTACGCTAATATACAAGCATACAGTTGATAGATATATTCGTAAATCTCAAAAATGCCATCGAATTCGTCATCACCCATACTACCACCATCGTCACCACCACCGCTACCAACTACCATTGACAATTGCGACGACGACGATGGAGGAGGATGAAGGCGGCGATCGGATTGCGAAACGGAGTGAGGCTGCAAAAACTTTACTTTTCGGATTCTCAGCCAATTCGAAATTTGCGCTATCATGAATAAGTTTGCTAACTAAGTTTCACATTTGCTGAAAATAAATCAAAAATATTTTACCTGCGCTGGTTTCTTGATTATCACATGCTCGACGAATGGCTGGGCAACGCTGAATTGTTGCCGTTGCTGTATCGATAAATTATCGCAAATATGCGAACCACCAATGTCTTTATGGTATTTTCCTATTGACTACTACAATCAGATTGGATTATATAAACTCATTTAGAGACTTTGACAAATAACATGAATCTGTCTGTCAACTGATCAACAAACTCTTTTCAATCGAATGGAAAAATAAATGGCTTGTTGAAAACTGAAAATGGTGTGCACAGTGCACACCAACATTATCGTCATCATCATCATCATCATCATCATCATCATCATAACATGCATGAAAAACGTGAATACCAAAATGACTTAAGTTGAATTGAAACCGCGCACGACGACGATGATGAAAATGAAAGAAAAATATTTATGCACACGAAAAAAGTTTGTTGATTTACACTCGGGTGCTATAAACAGCAACAATAACAGCGACATCGGAGGGAAAAAAACATTCATTCCATTTGCACGATGATTGGTTGTTCGCTCTTCTCTAATGTATTCAATAATCGGTGTCTTAGAATCGACGCATCGCAAATAGACTACGAGTGTCGAGTGTAATAAAAATATTATTCAAAACATCTGCCCTGTCTGCCGTAATAATTCAATAAAGTGAGCATGGAAAAAAAAGCGCAGCATCTGTGCCTTTCTTATTGGAATTCAATGTTTTTTTCCCTTTCCATTTATTGTTTGGTGTAAAACAGCCCATTTCCAGTTGCAAAATTCATGGCTTTTCAGAATACATAATAATTTTGTTGCTGTTAATTGTTCGACAAAAAAAAACCTTTTTCATCAGCATTTAGTTAGTCATTGGAAAGCCAATTACGGTTCGATGAATCTTGCTCTTAAAATCACATGTAAAAACCATTTCCAATAAGCTGACTTTGATCCGATTCACTTGTTGTGGGTTGAAAGGTGGCAGCGGAGTGGTGGAATGCCCATTTTAATGTGCAAAACCATTTGCAATATTTTCAATAAGCTCAAATAACTTCGATCGATTTTAAATTCCAATCAAATAATAGGCAAAACAGTCGAACATTCGGGGCAATTGCCCAATTTACAATCAAATGCAGTTCCGTTGGAATTCACATACAATACACATACACACACAGTCCAACGTTTCATTCCATTCTCCGAATTTGAATTATATGTCAATGTTATGAGCAGAAACCGAAAATAAAACGATAACAACAGCATATGACTTTATTTCATCGAAAATGAACGTATTGCATACAGCATGAGAAAATTCCGTGTATCGCGACGACGACGATGACGATACGAGAGAGCACACGCCGACAGAAAATTGACAAAGAACATACTGAACAACATTTCGAAATATATACATTTATATTTTGCTTTCATATCAATGATATTCGTGTTCAATAACTCTGTCGAAAACTGAAAAATTTCGTTTGATGCAATTCTCTACTTCGCGAATACTTTTATCGCTATTGTAAATAAACTGTCGCGTATATTAGATTTCTATATCCACACACCACTTACATATACTGCTGTTATGTTTCTATATATTGGCAAGGACATGCCAATGCTATTAGCTCGTTTTGACACACTCATGTCAGTCGATTGATACCTTTGATTTAATGATTAGCAGTTATTTCATTATCTATCGCTACCGGATCTCCCGGTTATTACATAGTAATAGTGTAGAGTATTCATCGTTTCATATGGTTCGTCTTATAAGTTACGCAAGGCGTAAGTGAGTCATCATAAAAATGTATCACCTTGTCATTTGCAATCATTTATTCCCCACGCCCCACCTCTCTCTCTCTCTCTCTCTCTCTCTCTCTCTCTCTCTCTCTCTCTCTCTCTCTTTCCACTCATATCAGATCAATCATTTAGCAACGTAATACAAAGCACAACTGAAGCACTCAACTAATAATACACTTACGAATGTTTACTTACGGTACCGGTTAACTGATATGTATTTTGCAGCTCCTTTCCCCATCTACAGACGACTTAACGAAAAATGCAAAGTTTTCAACACAGCCTAATTTTAAATTATACAAACCATCTCCATCGACCAATCAACAACACGAAGCTCTAAAGTGGAAGAAAATATACGGCAAAGAAAAGGAAGTTCAAGTTAACTAAAGCTTTTTTACCTTGGAAAAGCTCTTAGTTGCAGACAGTATGAAATCATTTGCAGTGCATCATTACCGAATTGTTTTTCAAGCCAAACAAAGACTGTTTACACTCCAAACAAATGCTCTGTTTTTTCGGAAAACAAACACAAGCTTATCAATGGGTTTCAATGCGTACTTTTTTTGAAGACTCTTTTAAAATGTTTCAATCGAATAAAGACTTTTATGCATAATCTCTAATGGAGACATCTTTGAATATGTTTTTTTTTCAGGGCAGAATGTAATTTCAACAAGAGAAATATTTAAAAAAAATTCACTCTTTTTTCATCGTTAATAAATTATCACATGAATTTATGAAATGTCAAAAATACACACTTGAAACACTTTAATATTTTTTCCGATGATTCTATGGTTCTGTTGTTGTTGTTGTAAATTGAAACGATTAAATTATGAAGAAAATATGTGTTTTAATGCAATCAATATATGAAAAATCTCAATAAACTGAAGGGAAAAAATGCTGGCCTCGATATCTGCGAAATTGAATTGACCCAAATGAAAATTAATGTGACATATACAAAAATCTAGCGCTTGGTATTTTTTCCAGTGAAAATGACTGTGGCCGCAATAAACGATATTGGAAGTTAAAATACTTTGATGTTTGTTCTATAGAAAAAGGCGTTGAAAATAAATTATCTTGGATTTTGGAAAATCAACGATTTTTATCACGATATTCGATCGCATGGAAATTCGATTTAACCAAAGCTCAAAAATGGGTCATAATGTTTTTGTCTTTTCGTTGGAATTAAAAAAAATAAGCCATAATATAATAAATCAATTTTTTTTTATTAAATTTTGTTGTGATAAATATGTAAAACAAATTACTACTACTGCGTAAGTTAACAACCGAAAAATGGATGAATCAAGGAAATGTTAGTTATTTTAATGCCAATGAAATTATGGCTTATCATCGCCAAAACGAGAAATAAAAACACTTTTGCAAACATAATAAAATGCTCCATTTACAATTAAATTTCATGCTTTTGGCAATACTTACCAAATGAATTTATTGGAAATTTTGAGTGTATTTTTTATATCAAATTTTAAATTCAACGAATGAAAAAATGAATGTAAAAAATGTGATAATTTTTTTTTTGTCTCTGTGATAGAAGGCAAAGCATATTGAAAATTCCCATTGATGAATAAAAATTTCGCACATCAATAACACGAATGCCTCTGTCAAATTTGGCCTTTATGGCATTTACCATTCGCCATAGAATATTGCAATGTCCCAGTTTGTTGCAAATAAGGTAGGTGAAAATGAATGAATGTCCTAGCAATTAAATGAATAATTTAAAAAGAAAGTAAAAAAAATGATTGTTCAAAGGAAAACACACAATGTTTGTTGTTTCACAGTTATAGTTAATCTTTATTTGTTTCCTTCGAATCAAGAGAAAAAAAATAAATTTGTTGTGTTGTTGTTATTGTTTTGAAATGAAACATAAAATGAAAAAACAAAGAAAAAAAAATAAAACCAGAGCAAAATTAAATTTCCGGCAATGATAACAAAAATAAGGCAAGAGAAACGGGTTTCCTTTTTTTCCTTTTGTAAAATGTATGCATGTGTGTGTTTGTGTTAATGAAAAGAAAAGGAAAATCACACTAAAGACTCCTCTGATTGTGATAAATAGTTCATATTAGCAATGGGTCTTTAGAATGTGTTTCATCGCACCTTATTTTCATTGTGTTTTTTTTTTCTTGCATTTCATTTAGCTTTTACTTATTACATACTTTGTAATCGTAATACGTAATTCTTAAAGGCTAAATAAATGTAAATTGTTATCTAACCTTATGCGCACGTGGCTGTATGTGTTTCATTCTTGATTTTTTTTAGTTGTTGTTGTTGTTGTTTTGTTGTGCATACTCTTCTATCATTGATTTTATAATTCGCTATTACACAAGTACAACTATTTAGTGATTTTTTTGTTTGTTTAAATATTTTCTCCATTTCATTTTTGTCCACACAAAAGACATCAAAATGTCGAGAAAGTAATCATGTCGTTCTTTGTGTCATAAATTCAATTTGTTTTTTTCCTTCTTCTATTTTTTTATATACTCAATCTCTCTCTCATTTTGTTTTTCTGTGGCGGAGGAGAGCGAGTCTGGTTTTGTACATTACAAAACTGAATAGGAAAATGACACCACTACGTATACATATAGAGATTTTTGTTTTATATATAAATATGCGATATTCAATCAATTACCTGCAATTTCATGTGTGTTCGCTGCACTTTCATCATTGTTGGATCATCAATTTTTCTCTCTCTCTCACTTAGCTTGTGTGCCCCCTTTCTGTGTGTGTGTGTCTTAATTGTTATTAATATTCATTACAAATACCTTAAATTTAAATTCATTTTCATTTTTAGCTGATAAATGTATTAAATGTATCGAAGAAATGATTTCATTTTTTTTCCTCTATTTCGCTTTTTCTTTTGAAATATCGCTATGTGTTGTGTATGTGGGTTGTGATTAGAAAACAAAGAGAAACAAATTGGTTGATGTTTTTTCTTGGGGAAAACTTAAAGCTAGAAGAGGAATCGAATTTTTGTTGGGAAATAATCTGTCCTTCAGAAATTCCTCCATCATTGATTTTTTTCTTTTCGTTTTTTTTTTTCATCTTAATAATTCTTTTTATTTCTTTATTATAAAACTTTTTTTGTTTGAAATATTTTTAAATTATGATTTTTTCTTAAAAAAACAAATTGAATAAAATGAAAATTCTATATACACAATACATACAATTTGCAAAAATGTTTATTTTCGCAGTCACAGATCGGGAAATTGATCGGACAATTATGTTCATTCATTTCGTAGTTAAATTCCGGTATTTCATGTGAGAGTGCCTTGTGTTTATTTGTTGCTTGATCTTCTATTTTTTTGTGCAATTTTCTGTTTAGCTCTACAAAGTATAGAATGCGACACGACTCAACATTAACGTAGGCTAATCAAAACAATTTGATTTGTTTTGTCATAAATAATAATTTGCATTTTGGAGTTTGTTTTTTTTTTTGGTCAATGAACGAGCCAGTTACTTTATCTCTACATTCCTGTTTTAACCTTCATACAAATTGAACAGGCTTTTATTTTGCAAATGGTCGCTCAAACGACAATAGCTCTCGACAATTGCGTGCACATCGTTTGCATTTTGTTTTCTCTCACTTTGTTGGGAGAGGTTTTTGGGAAGAGGCGACCAGAAAACAAAAATCAGAACTGAATGAAAATCGGAGTGTTGGTAGAAATTCCGAACGTTAAATTGATTGCAAATATTTTTGGTTGTTGTCAAACAATTTCACAGAGGATTAACCCCAATAAACATTGTATACAGACACCATATATGTGGCACCGCTATTGTCAAGTCGGTTAAACCAACATTTTATCATTGAGCCGAGATGATGGGTATCGTATTTGAAATATCGCTGCATCATCCACACTACACCATTTAATTCAACAGAATTGAATATTTAGCAATATGTGTGCAACACCACATTTGGTTTAGGCAGGCATTGGATCGCACCAATTGGAAAACTAATCGAAAACTCTAAACATTGGTTTCGTTGTGGAAAAATTTAGAAACGAGAATAATTTTTTTTTTTGTCGTGAGTGAGATGTAATTTTCTTTTTGTTATTTTGTGTGTGTGTTTCTGTTGGCTGTAAATTAAACAACGAAAAATTACGACAAAATTTGTTGTTGAAATAATGAAACTTACAATAAATGTTGGTATTTGGGTTGGATGGGGTGGTAAATAGTCGATTCGATAACACATTTCAAGTCCATCTCAGATCAAATTTGACATCTTGCCGATTTTTGGATACGCACCAATATTTATTGTAGTCGAATTCAATTTATTACAATCAAATCACGTTTGTGTTCGCGCACAATTCTCTCTTATTTTTTTCTCGTTTCGTCTTTTTTGTTTGTATTTGAATTCATTCAATTGTTTAAATGCACTAGCTAATTTTAAATTAAATTTTATTCCTTATTGTGTGTTTGATTTACATCAGAAACGAAAACAAAAATCGTGTCACTATTTACGCTGTAGTAACTCATGTTTGTTGTTGATTTTTTCTTTAATTATTACATAAAAATGTTCATTTGTTTGCAGTTCTAATAGTAGTTGCGGATGCATTTCTCTGCATCGGCATGTTTTGTTTGTTGAAATTTACAAATAATTAGTACGTTGTAACTCCTTTACACTTTTATTAATTTCAGTTAATCACAGTTATTTTTTTTCTTTAAATTTTACTCCTTATTTATATACAATTACTAATGTCAGAACTGAACGGAGAACAAACGTTGTCGAAGGAAAATAGACAGTATTTGATTTTCCACCCATTTTTCTTTTTGTTCCTGTTGTTGTTTTTTCTTCCATTTTTACGAACACTAATTTTCATGTTTTTTTTTTGTTGTTTCTTTTCAATTCTATTAAATTTATATAGATATTGATATTTTTTAGTATATACACAATTGTTTTGTTTGTTTTTTGGAGTTGTTCACACCAACAGAGTGAAACTTTACTGTCCCGCATCAGTTTTTCTTCTTCCATATTGTTGTCTCAAAATTAAAATCAGTTTAAATGTCAATTAAACGTTAAAAAAAACAATAAATGTGGACAAATCATATACAATATGTTTTGTAAGTAAATCTGAGGTAACGTGAAGAATTAGCTCTTTGTTGTGCATTTAGATGCATGCATTCGAAGATATCTCACTCAGATATTTGAACAAAAAAAAAAATTTGTGAATATGATTTAACAATTTGAACATAAAAAAGAGAAATATTTTGTTTGTTTTTCAAATGCAAATGAAAATAGGAAAAAAAAATTGTAGAGATAATAAATTTATGTAACTCTTACGCTTCGCATGTAGCCAAAATTTGTTGATTGTTGACTGTTGGAATCGTACTGGACGATTTTTGCTTTTTAGCTTTAATTTTTTCTTTCTCAATGCAACCTTCACAACAAACGAAATCAAGAAACGATAACCAAATTTTCACCTAAAGAAAAAGAAGATAAATATATAAAATGGATATAACAAGCACACATCTCGTTTCGGTCAAAGCTCGATGCAATTGAGGATGCAAAACACAGTAGAATGAAAATACAGTTTGAGACAATAGACCAGAACAGAAATTCGGAGTCAGGATGGACAGAACGACGCGTACCCAAACCACAATGTTTGTTAAAAATTTTCCTTGGTGATTTTATTGTGCATACAGCAATATGTTGTATCCTACTCATATCTATCGCGTCAATCAAATAAAAAAAAAACAATTTGTTTGGTGTTTCTATCGGTAAACGATAACATGGAGAGGGATAGAAAGAGAACGAATGAAAGATGCGCTGTGGATGTTTAACTATAACGGACAGCTTGCCAACGAGCATCGCTGTCTTGCTCTTCCTCTTCGTCTTCATCCCAAGATTCTTCTGATGAATCATGATACAATTTTTCACGTCGTTTGCGTGCCTTTTGCTCATCAGTCGGTGGCAATGTTTTGATTTTGATTTTGAAAATTTTCGCTTCACGTTCACTGTTGGACGATTTTTCCGAATTGCTACTGTGATGATGATGATTGTGGCTGTGGCTATGGCTATGGCTATGGCTATGACTGTGACTGTGGCCGTGGCTTTTGTGATTTTGGCTATGATGATGATGATGTTTCGACGATTTACTCGATTTGCTCGATTTACCCATCGATTTGCTCGATGATTTTCGCGATGATTTGTGCTTTGAATTGGTGTACACATGGATATTTTTGATTATGTACGTCGGTGGCGGCACTTCTTTAACATTGATGTGAAATTTTGGCGATGCTGGCGCATACGGATCATTTTCACCGTCACACTCATCAATTTCATCGTTATCTAATTTTTGCGATTCTTTTGGAAATTTTTGGACGCCTTTTGATTGCAGCAAGTGAATGACATGTACGTTGAAATTGTCACCGGTCGAAGAAGGGGGTCCACCTTTTCGGCTGCCTGATCTAAAAAATTTTGATGGAGCTTCATCGCCGGCGACTTGCTGGTTTTTTCGCTTCGATTTATGGGATTTGTGACCTTCGGAACTGTGATGTCTACTTGACGAATGACTGCGACTGCTCGAGCCATTTGTGTACGGTACGGACGGTTGTTTGAATGGGAATTCTTCGATTTTCGGCACCGTATGCTCTTCGTCCATCGGTTCAACTGGTGCCGATGTTAGCAACAGTTTTCCCTCGGGATCGAGGCCCCGCGTTGGATCGGGATCGTATGGTATCATCTCTTCATACGGAATTTTCGATTGTTCATAGCCCATTGACGAGTCGCTCAGCTCTGTGTCGGCAGCTGATGTTGACTTTGGAGCAACGGGACTCTCAATCGGTGCATTATTATTTGGTGAACTTTCGACCGGTACATTTAAATCAACGTCTTTGGTTGGGGTTTTAGACGTTAGCTCGTTTTTTGAATCGAACGGTTCGCAATTGTCATTGTTATTGCATGGAATATTTTCATTTTGGATCACTTTACACGCAATCGCATTCGATTTAATACTGTTCTCGTGCATTTCAAACGGTCGCATTTGGTAGTCAAAGTCAAATAGATCTGTTTCCAAATAATCATACATATCGTCCATATTTTCCGACACATTCATGTTATCGCTATCGGCATTCGAGTAGGTGTCGTATTTGTTTGCCGCTTGATTTGGTTGCGGCTGTTGTGGCTCGAATGTTTGATTAACGGTGAAATTGGAACGCTTTTTGCCGTTCTTCGCAATGCGTGACGGATCGAGAATTTCTTTCGGTGCCGCACACCGATAAATATTGCCCATGGAATTGATGTGGGTCATGTGATTGTCGGTGAGTGGGAAGAATGCCTCTTCCACGGACATCACTTGATCGGGTCGTGTTGCAAACAACATACCCGTAGCCATAGTTGGATCGGCACGATCGTTGAAACCACCACTATTATAATTATCGAACATGGCCGATGTTTCTTCGATGCTAATTTGAGCATGGTTGTTCGATTCGGGTATTTCGATGGGCATATCACACATTGATATATCTTCCGGATCGAATGGTTTGCTTGCAGGAAAATCTTCGATTTGTCGCAATTGATCGTCGAAACATGTGAACTCAATGCCATCCACACTTGAATTGATTTCAAGTTTTGAGAATGAATCGTCGTTGCCGTATCGCGGTGGCGATGGATTTTTCGTAATTTCAATGTCCGCCGATTCGGATATAAAGTTTGGAAATGAAATGATCGTGTTGGCCGGATCAATGGGCAAACTGAATTGAGGATCGGTTGACGATGGAATCGATGCAGGTACTGGTGGTGTGGATGTGGTTGGTGTTGATGTGGTTGCAGCAATAGCGACAGGTGACGTGGTGACATGGATTTCGGGTGTTTTTGGTGGCGGTGGTGGTGGTTGTTCGGACATTGGTATTGGAGCGACTGCCGTCGACGGAAGCGCTGCATTTGAATCGATTGGAATGGATGGTGGTTCAGGTACAATTTTTGTGGGCGTTGTGACTTGCGATTCATCGTCACCTTTCTTTGTCTTACGCGGCGATTGTTTTGCCAATGAGTAGTCCTTCTCTTGACTATTGCTATCACTTGAAATGGACTCTTCGGTGTCGTAGAATTTCTTGGAATACTTTTTATTCTGTATTGGCGTGCAATAGCATTTGAATTTACGCGACCACCATCGCAGGAACTTTTCAAAGTTTTCCAAGTACTTGTTCGATTGCGATGTGTATGTCAAGTTTGAGGTACTTATGTAACAGTCTTTCATGCGTGAATATGATTCGTTGACATCATCGAAAATCTTATTGTCAATCGATATAATCTGATGCAAGCCACGAAGCTTTTCTTGTACTTCATCCAAATATGGGATGTTCAGATTGAGCTGTTGCATCAAATCGACGAAACGCTGGAAAAAGATTTTCTTGATTTTGATGAGTGTTGTTCGGGTTTCCATGTAATCATTTGGTATTGAATCGGTGATCAAACCCACCACATCGTCATCGTTTCGTTGCGATGGAACTTTATTGTTAAACTGTTTGATGCGCTTCAGTATGCGATCACGATCCAAATTGCATTTGCATACGAATGCTTTCTTCATTTCCAACGGTGACATGTACTTATTCTCATCCGTGGACAGTTTCTTCTCCATGCATGGTCGCGGCTCTTTCGATGGTGTTGAGAATGCAAATGATTTTACACTCGTCGAAGTGCTATCCATAGAACAAGTGGTATCGTCGTGCTTTGGACTTGGTTCCGGTGTGAACACATCCTTGACATTGGATTTATGCGATTTATCCGATAGCACATTATCCAAACTGTGGCTGTGATGCAACTTTTTACTGCGCTTACTCTTGCGAGTGCTTGTTTCCGGCGCTGGTACGCTATCTTCTTGGTCTCTCGGTGACGGTGATTCGACTTCGGACCGAGACCGTTTCAGTGCATTCTTACGCTCAACTAAATTGAGAGCGGCAAGGAAGTCTTGTTCGTTGCTTGTTTCACCAGCACTTTGCATATCATCGCTTTCGTTGTGTGACAATGAAGTTTGCGAACGATCGCGTGACGATCTTGATCGATCTCGCTTCGTTTTTTCCTTTTCCTTTCCTTTTTCTGGCTTCTTTGATCTTGATGACGACGACGAGGACGAGCTTTTCTCTTCCTTTCGCGATTTCAATCGATGACTCTTCAATGCTTGCTCACGAACCGGTTTCTGTACATACGTTTCATTGGCTTTCTTTTGTGGCGCTTCGGCTGGTGGTTGAATTTTGAACGGGCTGATTTCGGTGATTGTGTCAACGGCACGGAAAATCGTTGCCTTTTTCTTTTCCGTCATTTTCTTCAATTTATCCAACGTTTGATCGTAATCGATGATTTCCTCTTCCGATTCTTGAATCTTTTTGCCACGTCTTGAGCTGCGTCGTTCTTCGCCCATTTTATCGGTGGCCGACTCTTTCGCTTGACGCGCTGGTGTGATGCGAGTCGATTTACGCAACGAAACTGTATTCTGTTTCTCAGCCTTTGACGATCGCGACTTTCTTGTTGGTTCTTCGGTTTTTGGTGTTGACACGCCACTTGTGCTTGGCTGCTGTTCGTCAATAACTGGTGTAAAGCTTGTGGTCGGTGTTATTGTTGGCGTTACATCAAGCGATGATGCCGTAGCCTGACTTTCATCAATTGGCTCAATCAATTTTAGTGCAATAGAATTACCACCTGATATGCTTCGAATTTGCTCGGCAAATAGAGCCGCCTCAGCCAAAACATCCAAATTGTTAATGGCATCTTTCACCGATGAATAACTCTTTACAACTTTGGTGGGTTTGGTTCGACGGCCAGAGCCCGAATTTCGACCACTTGCCTTTTGTTCAGACGAAAGATTCACGGGTGATAAATCAATTGGTGTTACATCTGGGTTGGGCATTATCACACTTACTGAAATATTTGGCTCGCGTTCCATTGTTGGTGATGGCGATTTTGGTTCGATGTCTTGTGTGGTTTTAGTCGTCGCGGATGGCGTTTTTAGCAATTCGATTGGAATGGGTGTTAACGATTTGATTACTGGCTCTTTAACAACGGACTGTTCATTGCTTTTACTGAAATTCAACGGTGTCAATTGTTGTGAATTCACGATATGTGGATAAAAGAAACCTTGGCTCAAATCTTCGATGCTCTTACTTTCGGTTGATTTGAGCGGCACAGTTGAAAGCACTTCTGGATTGTCGATTTGTGGCGGAAGCAGTGATGCAATCACAGCGACTGGAGTGGCGATTGGTGCAACGATTGTTGATACTGGAACTGCTGATATCGTTGATGGTTGAATTATTTCAGGCTGTTGCTCTGATTCGTTTGGTTTTTCTTGCACTGTTTCACCTTCAGTTGATGGCTCTTCAAGTTGAGATTCAATTGAAACACTTGGAACATCAAAAATTTTTGGCTCAATTGCTTCGGGTTCAGATTCTGGTTCTGGTTCCTGTTCAATAATTGGCAATTCTTCAGACTCTTTGATTGGCTGTACTGGTTCGTCGATTGTTTGAATTGAAATCGGTTCTTGTTCGATATCCGCTTCAGGTTTGGACGGTTTCACCGTGTAATCGAGCGGTGCACTTGAGTCGACGATTTCATCTTTCTTCTTGCGTGACCTTGACTTTGATTTTGATTTGGATTTCGATCTTGATCTTGATCTTGATGATGATTTTTCTTTTGACTCCTTCTTCGATTTTGATCGTGATTTTGACTTTGACGTTGACTTTTCAGCTTCTTTTGGCGACGATTCTAATATTTCGGGTTGTTCTGGCAAAATTTGTTGCACTTTGTTTTCGACACTGACTTCATCCACTTGCATTGGTTCCGCATCGCTTGCCAATTGAATTGAGGCCGTTTGTGACGTGATTGCTTGATCAACACTTTGTGATCCATCGTCCATTGACTCTGGCTGTGGCTCTTCCAAAAAGATTTGCTCAATTTCTTTGGGCGCCTCTTCTGTTTCTGCAACTTCATCGGTTTGCATTGCCAATGGTGGCGGTGTGACTGGTGTGCTTTCAATCGACGGTTGTGGCGATTCAACCGTTGGTTCGATTTGCTTGATTGTTTCGATTGTTTCAGGTGACTCGACCTTTTCGGTTTGTTCGTTTGATTCAAGTGGTTCGCTTGATAATACACGTTCGATCGATGGTTGCATTTGAATTTGCTCAATTGATTCGACGGTTGGTTCAATTTTCTTTTCGTCGACACGTTTGATGGCCTCAATTTGAATTGGTTCCATTTGAGTTGGCTCCGTTTGAATTGGTTTCGTTTGAATTGGTTCCGTTTGAATCGGCTCCGTTTGAGTTGGCTCTGTTTGAATTGTTTCGGCTTGAGTTGGCTCCGTTTGAATCGGCTCCGTTTGAGTTGGCTCCGTTTGAATTGTTTCGGCTTGAGTTGGTTCCGCTACTGTTTCAATTTGAATTGCCTCAACTGATTCAATCGGCTCATTTTCCTCAGTCGGTTCGACCGTTGGCTCGACTTGCTTTTCTTCAATCGGTTCGATCATTGGCTCGACTGGTTTTTCCTCAACCGATTCAATCATTGGCTCAACTGATTTTTC